CAGCTGGCGAATCCAAATCAAAATCGACGAAGCCACGACCATACAGTAGACCCAAAACGTCCTTTGCAACAGTGCGGTGTTTGCTCAAGTCGTGCAACCAATACCCATCGCATAAGACTCAAATAATTCGACAAAACGTGGCGATTGATTGGACGATTTACAATTGGAGCCGAGGGCACAAACCATGAGAGGCGCCCTGATGGCCATCATGGTCGCCAACCTGACTCGCCGGCAGCGTACCCGTCGAAAGATGCATGTTCTTCGCTTGCGCGGCTTGCTAAAACAGGGACATTGGGTGAGGTCAGCTGCATTCATACCAAATCAAGAGGACTCACCATGGTATACCATGTATGCTGCAAAGGACGAGCCATCGTTTTTGGTCACAGTCTCGCTGACGCCAGATGCATTCGAGGACCTATTAACACAATTCAAGCATTCGTATGTTGTGCTGTCGCACCCATTCCGTGGAGGACGTCCTCCGCGTATTCCCCACAAGCACGCTGTTCTGGCCATGGTTCTGCACTTTTACACCGCTGCTCTGGAATCAAAGACACTACAGAAGCTCTTCGGTCTGTCAGCCACAACCTTCTCCAGAGTCCTGCACAAAGCAGAAGAAGCTCTTTCTGTTGCGTTGAAGGCGATGAAGGATGCGCGTATCTTCACCTTGTTTCTCGACCCCTTGATCTTCGACGAGGAGGTGACCAACATCGTTGGCTTTACCGTTGTCTTCATCAGCTAGATCATCCACGACTTTAATGGCACTAAGACAACCATGTCGCTCACCGTTGTGATCTTCCTCGTCGTTCTCGTCTTCCATACTGAGCACCGCCGCCTCGTTGTCGATCTGTCGACTGATGCGCTTCGCACGCACCACTTCACTTGGGCACGTCGGGTCGCCAGTGGGCTTGGGGTGATTGCGTATTTGGGCAAACTTTCGCTTCAAGCCATCAACGTCGCGTCGCGGAAACGTGCCTGTGTTGAACGCTGATTCTACTCGTGTCCAAGCATTGCGTCCAGAGGGAGGATGTCCTCCACATGGTATGAGAAACAGAGCAACTCTGCGCACCAACCCTTGCCTCATCCCCTTGGCATGCTCACGACTAGTGTGGAAATGAGGCAAGCGCACTCTAACTTTCAAACCAGTCGTGAGCATGATGATGACTGGCGTGGTGGTGTCTACGCTAATAGTCGATACTACCGCCATTTTTCAAAACAACTTGAGCCAAACGCGTAGGCATGCTATCCACAAGTGTCTTCAAATAGTTGTTTTTTGCGCAAGAAAAATCCGCATAATCATCAGGATTGCGCAAGTATATCTTGC